TCTCTCTCTCTCTCTCTCTCTCTCTCTCTCTCTCTCTCTCTCTCTCTCTCTCTCTTTCTGGGAGATCTCTCTGGCACACACTCCTGCCCTGTGCTGACATCTGCCATGTCATGACATAGTCAGAAGGACCTTCCTTATGTGAGAATGCACGCATGGAGGAGGTTGCTGGATTTGGGACTTCTGGTCTCCAAAACTGTGAGCTTAGTAAACCTCTTTTCCTTATAAATTACCCAGTCTCTGAGATTTTGTTATAGCAACAGAAAATGAGTTAAGATAACCTCAAAAGCCGGGCAGTGGTGGCGTACACCTTTAATCCCAGCACTTGGGAGGCAGAGGCAGGTGGATTTCTGAGTTCGAGGCCAGCCTGTTCTACAGAGTGAGTTCCAGGAAAGCCAGGGCTATTCAGAGAAACTCTGTCTCAAAAAACAAAAACAAAAACAAAACAAAACAAAAAAACCAAAAAACCAAAAACCAAACAAACACAAAAGATAACCTCAAAAATAATGTTATTACATTGACAAGCTGCGACTCTTAGCACATTCCATAGCAAGATATAGCAGCAATAATCTATGTTGTTTTTACCTTACAGCTAATATGAACAGTGGCACTATGACATTTATGTATCACTATTCATGTACATATATTTTTCAATTCTTTTGGGTAAATATCAAGAGTGAAGTTTCTGAGTCATATAACGTGTGTGTGTGGTGTGTGTGTATTCATCTTCTTTTAAAGAATTATCCGCCAGGCAGTGGTGGTGCATGCCTTAAATCCCAGCATTTGGGAGGCAGAGGCAGGCGTATTTCTGAGTTCGAGGCCAGCCTGGTCTACCGAGTGAGTTCCAGGACAGCCAGGGCTACACAGAGAAACCCTGTCTTGAAAAAAACAACAACAAAAACAAAACAAAACAAAACAAAAAAACTACATATTTGATTTTACCATTCTGTTGTGGTGACTTAGTAATAGAAGTTACTGCCTGGATGTTTTCTGGTTCACCTATGTATTTATTCTTTTTTTTTTT